GGCCTGCGGGCGGGCGGGCGCGGCCCGCGCTGGGGTCCGCCGGGCCGGTGGGACTTTCGGGGGTGTCAGGCTGTTGTTCTCTCTCTGTGCCGGCCGCCCGCGCCCCGGCCCGCGCTGACGCCCCGTCTTCTCTCTTCTCTCTCTTGTTCTAGGAGGAGAGTTAATTTTGCCCATTATCACGGAGGACTCCCTAGACCCCCCTCCCGTGGCCACCCGCTCCCCCTTCGTGCCCCCGCCCCCACCTTCTACCCCTTCCTCACGGGCGTGGGCGCCACCCAGGACACCCCGCCCCCGCCCGCGGCGCGCCGCCCGCCCGCCGGGGCGCCCTGCCAGGCCGAGCGCGACGACAGCGACTGCGAGGAGCCCATCGAGGCCTCGGGCTTCGCCTCCGGGGAGGTCTTTGACTCCAGCCTCCCCCCGACGGACGACGAGGACTTTTACACCACCTTCCCCCTGGTCACGGACCGCACCACCCTCCTCTCGCCCCGCAAACCCGGCCCCCGGCCCAACCTCAGGACAGACGGGGCCACGGGCGCCCCCGGGGTGCTGCTCGCGCCCTCCGCCCCGGCCCCCAACCTGCCGGCGGGCAAAATGAACCACCGAGACCCGCTGCAGCCCCTGCTGGAGAACCCCCCCCTGGGGCCCGGGGCCCCCACGTCTTTCGAGCCGCGGAGGCCCCCCCCTTGCGCCCCGGCGTGACCGCGGCGCCCGGCTTCCCCCGTCTGCCCACAGCCAACCCCACGGGGCCCGGGGAGCGGGGCCCGCCGGGCGCCGTGGAGGTGATCCGGGAGTCCAGCAGCACCACGGGCATGGTGGTGGGCATCGTGGCGGCCGCGGCGCTCTGCATCCTCATCCTGCTCTACGCCATGTACAAGTACCGCAACCGCGACGAGGGCTCCTACCAGGTGGACCAGAGCCGCAACTACATCAGCAACTCGGCGCAGAGCAACGGCGCGGTGGTCAAGGAGAAGGCCCCGGCCGCGCCCAAGACGCCCAGCAAGGCCAAGAAGAACAAGGACAAGGAGTACTACGTGTGAGCCCCGACGGCGCGGCCCGCGCTCGGCGCCCCCCGCCGGCCCCGCGGCCCGCGCGGCCGCCCCGGACTCCTCTCGCCAAGAGGAAATGCAAAAAAATTAGAGATAATAAAGGAGAAGAAGAGCAGGAGAGGAAGGAAGGAAAGGAAAACCCCGCGCTCGCCCGCCCCTCCTCCCGCCGCCCCGCCGGCGCGTCCCGGGCTGCGGCGCCGCGGCCCCGGCCGATTTATTTTTTTAAGGGGGGTAGTTTTAATTTGCTGGGGCCGGGCGGGGAGGAAGGCTGGGGGTTTTGTAAAGTGTCCCCTACTCGTCCTGTTGATTTTCCTTCATTTCCACCCCCAACCCCCGCCTTCCCTCCCTCCCCGGGGGCTCCAGCCCCCCCCACCCCAGGCTCGCCGTGTCTCTCGGTCCCCACCCTGCGCCCCCACTTTTTATGTGTCGATTCCTCCTTCCTTTCCTCCCTTCGGGGTTCGGAGGCGCGGGCGGGCCCGGCGGGGCGGGGCGGGGCGGGGCGGGGCGTGGCCCGAGCGCCCCGACTCCGCCCGGGGCCGCCTGGGCCGCCGCGAGGGGCCGGGCGTGCACGGGGCGCTGCGGGCGGAGCGGGGGGCGGGGGGCGGGGGGCGGCGAACGCGGGTATATATCACAGGCCACGCGCCGGGCCGGCGGCACAGGGGGGAGGCGAGCGGGCGCCGCTCGCGGACTGCTGGGGTCACGTCTCTGCCCGCGGGCTCCCCGCTCCCCCAGTTTTTTTCTCTCTTTGTTAACAAATGTGTCTGAGTCTTGGAAAACACCCCAACCCCGGAAATGTGTGGGAAAAGAAAACAAAAACTTTCCAAATCCCGACGGTCCTGTGCAATTTGTTGTGGGGGGAACCGCCGGGACAGCGGCCCTGGCCCTGGGACGGGGTCTGGGCCCAAACGGGGCCAGGACGGCGGTAAGTCACCCCCTGAAGTCTGGGCCGGTCGCGGGTTTGGGCTCCTCTGGGCCACTTGCCTCCGGCCCCGGGTGGCCCAGGGGTGAGGACCGGCGGGTCGCAGCCCGTGGACGGTGGGCCCTGCTGGTCTCTGGCCTTGGCGCCGTGGAGTGGAGCCTCAGGCTGGAGAACGACCCTGTGGCTCTGGGGGCCCTGGGTACGGGGTACCGGCCCTGCTGGACCCCGGGCAGGTAGGTTACTCCTACGGGAGCTTCGGTCGCTGCTCCAAATTCAGAAGCTGGTCCAGTTCTGTCTAATTCCCGAGTCTGCTCCTTCTGTCCCTCTAGGAGGCCGGACCTTGGCCTGTCACCCCACTTCACCCTGCTGACCGCGGCAGTCCAGGGGGTGGCAGGTGGAAGTGGAGCCGACACACCTCAAGCCTCGGGTTGGTGTTGGTCCTGGGGGGGACACTGGCCCCAGACACCCCAGAGCCTCAGTTGCAGGAGCAGAGACCCCCCAGGTGGGGGCTGTATGTAAGCAACCAAGTGTGCATCGGGGGAAGAGCAGAGAGGGGGCCTGCACCTCCCAGGGGCCGGGTGGATGCCCTGGCCCCAGACGTTCGGCCACCTCTGTCCCTCCTCTGCCTTCTGCTTCTCAGGCATCATGCGTGTCCGCGTGCAGTGGCTCTGCTGCTGGTTCATTCCACCAGTTCATGAGCCTGGTCCAGTCGAGGCCTCCCGGGGCTCCTGCTTGCTGGGGCCCCACAGTCCCTTCCTTCTCTGCATCCTGAGAAGCCTTTGTCCGGGGCCCTTGAGTCCCATCAGGGATGACAGAGGGTCAGCTCCTTCCCAGCTGTGTGCATTTCTGTGGCCTCTCCTCTCCCTCCTGGGCTAGATCCTGGAAGGAGGTGCTGCTGCCCCCCACTTAGCCCCCTGCTGCTCACATTCTTGGAACCTGAGGTTGGCATCTCCAAGGTGAGCCCTAAGCGCCTGTGGAAGCCTGGAGTCGTCCAGCCAGGATGTGGGCCTGTGGTGTGATGCCCCCCCCCACACCCCAGGTCTGCTGCTGCTGCCTCCGCCCAAGGGGTCAGACTTATCTTGGGCTCTGCTACCCCTCACCAAGAACACCGAAGAAAACAGACAGGAATTCCTTGATGTGCAGAAGGCAAGGGACACTATTATTCCAGAAATTTCTAGAATGGCCCTGAAAAGCCTGCCAGAGAAGGGGCAGAGAGAGGGACAGTGCAGACTGCGCCGTCGCTGGCGTTTTCCTATCTGCATCCTCAGGCGGCTTAGAGCTCCTGTCACCCAAGAGTGTGTCCCTAAGAGAAGGCCTGCCACCTGGGCTGCAGTACCAGCTGCCCTGCAGGCCTGTGGTCACTGCCAAGGATGCCCTTTCTCCCCGCACAGGGCACCCCCTTGCCTTGGGGAAGCCCAGAGGCCTAGGCCCCAGGCCTCTCAGCTTCCAGGTCCTGTTAAAAGACCCATTGGCAGCAGGTGACCTGTGTCCTGGAAACTGCGGCCACCTGGAGGGGCCAAGAGCATGGTCACTCTGAATGCGGCCAGAGAGATGACACTGATCATTGGGGGCCACCCAGGGGGAGAGTTAGAGCCCTAGATTCTATCTTCTGGAAGCTTCTGGACACCCTGAGGCCCTAAGAATGTTGAGCAAGGACAGGAAAAGCACCTAGGGGTCAGCTTGGCATCAGGCCAACCACTGACAGTCCAGGGCAGGTGGGGACAGTCTCACTCCTGGGCATCTTACAAACATGATTGCCACCCTGCTTTGTCCAGGGGTCTTCGCAGAGGGGTGGCACAGCAGAGGCCTGAAGGACGCGATCCCCAAGAAGCCCAGGAGTACATCTCCCAGGCCGGGGAGCGAGCCGTCTTCCAGGCATGAAGAGTTGCTTTCTGTTCCCCACTTACCTCTGTATGAGCGCCTGTGGACACATGACTCCGTGTGTGTGTGTGTGTGTGTAGGGGTGCAGCCCTCTGCCCAGCCTCCAGGCCCAGAGGGGCCCAGAGACACCCGAGCACAGCTCTGGGCGGCTCAGCAGATGGAGTGGAGGGCGGGGGCCCCACTGGGCAGCAAGTGGCTCCTGCCTGCTCCTGTATGTGTGGTGGCCAGGCTAGGGGCGCTCGGGACCCCCCTTTCTGTCTGAGCCCTATTCTCTGTTTCCCTAGTGGGGTCCTGGCTGGGACGAGGGGTCCCTGCCCCTGGAAGGTGGCACTGGACACCCAGCTTATGAGGCCTGAGGGTGGGCTACGGGTGTTGTGGCAGAGCGGGGCTCGAACCCCGGTCTTGCCCCTCCCAGCCATGTGCCACAGGCGGCCTGCTGCTCGGAGCTTAGATCCCCGTCTGTAAAATGGGGTGTTGCTCACTTCAGAGGGCTCAGGAAAGATGGGGTGAGATGATGCCTTGGGGTGTCCACCCCAGGGCACTCACTTCTGCTTGGCACATGGGGCAGGGAAGCGGGCCTGGGCCAGGGCCGATTGGTGAGGACCCTGCCAGTGCCCCCCTCCACTGCCCACACCCCCATCCGGGGGCACGTCCCTGGGTTGGTGAGGGCAGTCATGGGTTTGTAGTTTCGTCCTTTATTCACTCTGGTTTCCCACTTGTGTCCCTGTGACCTGGCTCTGTGAGGGAGCCGGGGCCACTGGGCCCAGGACCACCCCAACCCCTGGGCACCCCAACCCCTGGCAGGTGGGGGGACTGCGGCAGGAGCGTCCCTGCAGCCCCAGGCTGGACCCAGAACTGGCCACTGGGTGTGGGAGGCTGGTGGGGTTGCCGGGAAGAGAAGCTGGTGGGGGGGGGGGCTCCGGGTGGAAGCCTGGCCGCAGGACCCGTCACTTGGCTGGAGGGTGGTGTGGGGCGTGGGAGGGGTCGGAGCCACTTCTGGGTGAAGCTGGAGCATCACCCTCCCGTGTGGGCCCCTCAGGGCGGAGTGAGAGGCTGGGGAGGTTTTCGCCGCCTGCTGAAGTCTGGCCAGCGGCTGAGCCAGGGCCGTGGGCAGCGAGGAGGGCCCCCTGGCAGGCCCCTCTCCTGACCTCGTCCCTGATCCTCTTCGCAATCCTGAGGGAGGTCGGGCGACGCTGGGCCAGCAGCCTCCTGCCAGTCAAGTCATCCTTGCCCCTTCCGTGCTGAGGCCGCCATCGGCGGGGCTGGGTGCGCTGGAGGAGCGGCCCTGGGGCCCCTGGAGATCCAATCTTTTGCTCTCCTGCCTTTTGCATAGTGGAGCAGCCTCCGCCCCTCGTTCCGGGCAGCGCCCCGGGAGGCTAAAAGCGTGTGGATTTCAGGACAGGGCCCTCCTGGGTGCTGTGTGCTGCCTTCTTTACCCCCCTGTTCAGGAAAGATAGGAAAGGGTCATGTCTGAGGGGGCACAGAGTGACCCTGGACCTGACCGTGGCCATCCTGAGGACTCGGGAGCCCTTGCGGCCTGCTCTCGGAGCCTGGGACTCAGCTCCCTGACCGCGTGCCAGGATGGCGGGCACTGGCAGTCCTGACAGTCACCCAGTCACCGGCAGCCCCGTGACAGCGCCTGTGAGCACCCCCAGCAGTGGCCATCCGCCTCCCCCGACCTAGAGGTGGAGCTGGGGCTGGGTGGGCCACTTGGGCTTCACGTGGGGGGACGAGGCGCAGAGGGTACAGTGTCGCTTGGGGGACTCAGCCCTGGGTGCCCACTCTCCCAAATAAGTGCTTGTGGCTCTGGGCTGGCCCTGTCCCGCTCTGGGCCTCTGTTTCTCTCCACCCCTGTAGCGGGGCGGGCAGCAGCCCGCCTGTGTCCAGAGGCCCTTGGAGGGGTGCCCCCAGGCCGGGCCCACTCACTGGCTCTGCATTTCCTGCATGGTGTCCGGCAGCGGCAGGCCGCGGGTCTCGGGCAGCAGCAGCGCGGCCAGGCCACTCAGGACCGGCACCGCCCCGTACACCAGCAGGGGCACAGAGGCGCCGTAAACACCCGTCAGCCGGACCAGAGGCCCCAGGATGGCTCCCACGCGGGCCCCCATCTGGCACATGCCCGCTGCGGTCGTCCTGTCCGACAGATGCGCCTGTCAGTTGTTCCGCCCACTCACAGCCTTGACCGCCCGCAATGGCTGCCAGCCCCACTCAGAAGGGCCAGGGTGTGCCTGGGCAGCGCTGGGTCCACGTGGAAAAGAGATGCCCGAGGTTCTGGGCCACGCCTAGCCCCCCCAGCCCCAGGGTGCCCCCTGCTGGGCCCAGGAACAGCCTCACCTGAGCACGGTGGGGAAGAGCTCACCACTGTAGACGGAGCTGCAGGTGAAGGTGGCCCCCAGCGCCCCGAGTCCCAGCATGGCCAGGGCTGAACGAAGACCCCCCATCTCTGTGGACAGAGGAGGCCTTAGCAGGGCTGTGGTGGGGCCCCAGGGGCAGACGAGGGCTCTGTGTGGCCCAGACCAAATGCCTGCGTATCCACATGGGTGTCCCCAGAGCCCACATTTGCCCTCTTTCCTGAGTGACCGCAGGGCCACATTCCTTACCTGCCTCCCAGGACACCCCGTGCCTGACCCTGGGAGCCCTGCTCACCCCCTCCGCTGCCTTGCCCTCCCCCCACAGTTTTCCTTGCTCTGCTGCTCCCACCATCCTGGCTCCTGCTGCCCCCTGCTGGCATCTCTCCCTGGCTCACCCCGGGGCACCAGTGTGTTGGCCAGGATGCAGAGCCCGGCCAGCACCAGTGCGGCCACCTGCGTGGGCCGCCGTCCCACGCGGCTCAGCAGCAGCAGAGTGGCCATCTTGGCCGGGATGTCCACCCCTCCCACGAGGGCCTGGAGCAGGAAGATGTTGCTGCCCAGGGCCTGCAAGTCCATGGCCAGGCCGTAAAAGGTGAAGCCGAAGGCGAACCTGGGGGCGGAGCAGGGGCATCAGATAGGGAGTGGGGGCAGGGCGCCTCTGGAGAAAGTGTCCCAGGTGCCTTTGCCAACGCTTCTCATGGGGCTTGCCCGATGGGAGGTCCTGGAGGAGGTCGGGCGTGGGGCAGGGAGCAGCGGCTTCTCTCCCTTGCTTGCTGACTGACCCATCTCTGGCTCCAGCTTCCACCGAGCAGGACCCCAACCCCCGCCCTGTAACCTCGGGGTCCCTCCAAACAAGGGTGAATTGCCTCTACCCTTGCTGTTCTCTTGAGCGCCCCTCAGCCTGCTGGGCAGGGCCTGGCAGGGCTCCTCCCTGCTAATCTCTCTCCCACGCCCCCACCTGAGACCCTGGCTCGTTTCCTGACTGATGTGGGGGGCTGCAGGTCCTAGAGACGCCCAGGCCAGGCCCTGACTCTAGGTTACCTGAGGGTGGGCCAGAGTTGGGGGGGAGGGGCGGGGCACCTACCAGCACAGACCGGAGATGCAGATCCGCAGGCCCAGCCCAGGCAAGCGCAGCAGGGTGCCCAGGCCAGCGGGGGCCCTGCCCACACTAAGCTCCGCCTGCATGGTGGAGAGCAGGACCTGCGGGGCGGGGAGGGGGTTGTCCCAGTGCTGGGGGCTCCAGGCAGGCTTCCACCCCAAGGCCCTCCTCCTGGGAGGCTGGGCCCTGCGTGGGGCAGGTTGAGGGTGTGGGGACAGGCCAGCCCGCCTCACCTCAGTGGTCATGGCATCCCCCACGGCTCTCTTCCTGTTGATGGCGGCCACCCTCTGCAGCTCCCGCAGGCCCTGGTCCAGCCTGCCCTTGATGAGGAGCCACCGAGCCGACTCTGCCAGCCACCTGGGAGGGCGGGAGCAGGTGGGTGCTCAGCCCCCGGAGCTCACTGCCCCTCTGTGCTTCTTGCCCAACAGGTCAGTGGGTGGGCAGTGAAAGCCACAGAAGTGGGTAGCCGCCATGCCATCTCTGTCACCCCCGCAACCAGCTGGCCACTCTTTCTGCCCTCTTCCTCCCTCCTCCTGCCTCTCCAGTTGGTGAAGAGGGAGCACAGGGTCCCATTCTCCCCTTCCTGCAACCCGATGGCCCATGCGGTGCCCGCATAGAGTGACCCCAGCAGCTCTGGGCCCACTGTCCTGCAGGCCCAGCACAGCCTGCAAGCCCCTGGGCACCCTGCTGCGGAACCCCCAGTGCCACAGAACCTTCTGTTCACCCACACCTGCTCCTCCCTACCTGAGCTGCCCCTCAGTGCCCCTCCCTGCAAACAGCCTCACACCTGACCAGGGAATCAGGCAACGCACAATGCGAGGGGGTGCGCCCTGGCGGTCTCCAATTCCCATCCCCTCTAGTGCCCCCAGCATCAGACCAGCCTCCCCACCCCGGCCTCAATTTTGGCCTTTTGTGCATGGCAGAGAAGACCTGTCCCCCTTGGGTGCAGGCGCCCCCCACCCCCTGGACAGGCTCCCCACACAGCAAGCCCAGCCCCCCGTACCTCCTTCCCAGCCTGCTGAACCCCGCAGTACCCACTCCTCTCCTTGGGCTCCTGCCTCCAGGCCCTAGCTCATGCAGTTCCCCCAGACACGCTCCCCAGAGGGGTCACCTGTCCGCTGGGGCCCTGAGGTTCTTGTGGTTTGCAGCACAGGGGAGAGAAGGGACGGAAGGTAGAGGTTGTGTTGATGAGGCCCGGACCTACTGGGCTGGGGGTGCAGGGACAGTGAGGAGGTCTCGGTGACTCTGAGCTTAGGACCTGCGGCTGAGGGGCTGCTGTCAATTCTGGGGAAGTCTTGGGGGGAGCCGGTGTCAGGAGAGTCACATTTGTGACCCCCTTCATGGAGGTTGGAGCATGAGGCCAAAGGCGGGGCAGAGGCAGATGAGGGGGCCTGCAGCAGCACAGGGGAGGCGCCTGGAAAGGTCCGGGGCCTGGAAGGGGGGCCACCATATGCACACACCTCTGTGAAGGGCCATGGTTTGAAGAGGAGCAAGGAAGCTAGGAGCTGAAGGGGCCGGGGTAACCCTCCTCTGCACCCCCACCCCTCCCTACTCCTCAAGGCTACGCGTAGCTTGTGAGTCGTGGCGGCCAGGAGTTCCCACGACTGCTGTGATCCTGTCTGTGCTGCTCTTTGCTGTCACCACTGGCTCAGCGGCTGGGCCAGGAAGTAGTGCGTGGTATGGGCACTGTGTGCCTGTGCGGAAGGCTACGTGCAGCCCCGGGGCCAGAATCCAGGGGCGCCTGGAATCTGCACCATGGAGCTAGGGCCCCTCTCTGTGTGCAGGTCACCCTGCCAGCCCAGGAGGCCACCTGTGGGCGGAATCGTCTCTCAGAGCCATGGTGGGAGACCTAATTGTCCCCTGCTTTGGAGGGTGACTGCAAATTCATTGCTGGGCGCCCAATGGTAAGAACATCTCTGCTCCAAGCTGCTGTGTTGGGCGACACCCGTGGAGGCGCCTCCCCTAGGGCAGGTGCGGCTGCCCCTTCTTCACGGGCCTCCTCCTGCAGTGGCTGCGAGGACCAGGCCACTACTGAGTGCTGGACCTGAGCATGAACAGGCCATACTCAGCCCTGCATGCGGGCGCCCAACTGTCCATGCATCCATCCACCTACCCTCTGCCTCTCCATCCATCCATCCCGCCATCTGTCCATCCATCCACCATCCGTCCACCTACCTATTCATCTATCTCTACCCATCCCGCCACCCTCCCACCTACCATCTATCTATCTACTTATCTATCTACCTACCTATCTACCTATCTATCTATCTATCTATCTATCTATCTATCTATCTATCTATCTATCTATCTATCTATCTATCTACCTACCTATCTATCTATCTATCTATCTATCTATCTATCTATCTATCTATCTATCTATCTATCTATCTATCTATCTATCTATCTATCTATCTATCTATCTATCTATCTATCTATCTATCTATCTATCTATCTACCTACCTACCTATCTATCTACCTATCTATCTATCTATCTATCTATCTATCTACCTACCTACCTATCTATCTACCTATCTATCTATCTAACTAACTGTGTACCTACTATGTGCTTGGCAAGGACCACACCTGATTTATTTCAGGGTGTGCAGACATTCCTTCACCTCCCAGGACGCCAGCCTTAGGGTGGGATGGCCCCAGGCGTCCTCTGTTCACTGGTCACAGTCCCTGTTCTTGAACAGCGCGAGTGTGCCCGGCTGACCGCAGCTGTGTCCTGGGAGTGTGTGTGTGTATTTGCGTCCAGCCCCCCTGCTGCTGTGCCTCCGAGGAGGGGCTCAGATGACGTGCTCGGAGGCCCCCGTGGCCTGAGAGCAGGGGCAGGAGCGGGGCAGGAAGGACGGGGAGAAGGGTGGGCGTGGGAGGCTCAAGGGAGGAAGAGGGCCTTGAGCCCCGGGGTGAGCGGGTGAGTGTGAGGGCCTGGCGCTCCGTGCCAAGCCCCCCGGCTTTCCTCCTGTTGTGCTCCCCAGCCTCCTTCGCCCGCAGTGTCTGCCCGGTGGAGGAGAGCACCCCGTCACCTCCCTAGGCCTTCCTGCAGGGGGAGGCGCACCCACCAGGAGTACACAAAGCAGAGGAAGAAGGGGGCGGAGACCACCAACTGCAGCAGGGCCCAGTCTCGCACGCCATAGGCCACAGTGGCCATCAGGATGTGTCCGAAGCTGAACCCCAGGGCGTTCAGAGTCATTGCCAGGACTCGGGCCGACGTCCACTCCATCACTGTAAGGAGACTGGGTGTGGGTGGCTGCCTGGGCCCTCTGGAGTTGTAGGGGAGACCCTGTGGGGCTGCAAGGCGGTCACCCCTTGCAAGGAGACCACCAGGGTCAGCCTGGGAGCCCGCACGAGCCTCCCACCAGGATCCCAGTAGATGGGCTGGGCCCTGGGCTTCAGGGCCGGAGAGTCACACGCCAGGTCCCACTGGTGGTCACCTACGGAGCGTGCTGGTGCTCATCATGACGCCCGCCACGGCAAAGGCCACCAGGAAGCGGAGCAGGCAGTACGCAGGGAAGGTGGGGGCGAAGGCGACTGCTGTGCCCGAGGCGGCGATCTGAAGGTAGCTCCAGCTCAGCACCAGCCTGCGCCCCAACCTGCGCCAGACAGACAGACACACCCAGGGAGGGGCGGGTCTGCAGCAAGCCATGCTGGCCGGGGCCCGAGCACTGCCAGCCCGCCCAGGGCTGCCCCTGAAGGAGGCTGGTGCTGAACGCACAGGGGGGACCGGGCCCCTCTATCCACCCCCGGAGGACTTGTGAGCACAGGCTGAGACCCCGAGGTCCAGGGGTGCTTGTAGGAGCTCTTGACAGGCAGTGAGCGCCCCGTGAGCAGGAGCACTCAAGCAGCAGCTGGAGGCAAGAGTGCGGCCCAGCAGGTGTGAGCAGTGCATGGTCCAAGGAAGCAACGGCCCCGCACGCCCCAGAGGAGAGCTGGTGACACCCTGCCCGAGGGGCTCCAGCCGAGCTCAGAGGCACAGCTGAACTCCACTCCCAGCAGAGGGCCTCCTCCCGGGACCAGAGGCAATGAGAGGCCAGTCAGGGGCGGGGGTCTAGGAGCACAGGGTCAGCAAGGGCAGGGGGCCGCGGTTCCAGGGCCGGGGTACGCACCTGTCCGAGGCATAGCCACACACGGCAGCTCCCACCAGGATCCCAGACAGGTAGATGGACTGGGCCATGGGCTTCAGGGCCTGAGAGTCACATACCAGGTCCCACTGGTGGTAGCAGGGGGAGGCTGAGGTCAGGAGGCAGGAGAGCCCGCGTGGGTGGGCACAGAGGAACCAGGCAGGAAGACCCAAGGCAGCTGGGTGTGGGTGGCTGGCCTGGCACCTCTAGAGTTGCAGGGAAGACCTTGCGGGGCTGCAAGGGCGGTCACCCCTTGCCGAAGCCCCCATGGGTCTCTTGCCCCACAATCAGAGGGGGGCGCCCTGTTTGCTTCATTTTTCCCCTTCGCTGCCGCTGCCCAGCCCCCTCCCCAGGGTGCTTCCCTCCTGCTCGACAGAGTTTTCCCCACTTCCCAAATCTGTCGACACTGCCTTGAGGTACCCTGCAAATCCAGTGCAGGGGACTTTCCTCCCAGCCCCCCGGGTCAGGAGCTGGAGAAGGTTGTCCGAATCGGCCAAGTGACGGGGCTGGTTAGGCTCTGGGGCACCCCCCCTTCGTGAGCTGGGGCCAGCGCTGGCTTCCACCACGCCCCACCCCCCGCCCCCCGCCCCGAGCGCGATGTGGCCGAGGGTAAGGAAGCCTTCAGAGGCGGCCCCCTGGAAGGGGCCATCTGGAGTCCTGTCGACCACGAGCAGTGACTTGGACCTCAAAGGGAAAGCTGCGGGGGGCCTTACCTCGGCCACGATGGTGGAGGTGAAGGTGCTGCGGTCGTACACCCAGCCGTCCAGACACGGCTCCGTGGCCGCCGCGCTCCAGTTGGCCGTGGCGTTGGGCTCCAGGAGCTGCCACTGCGGTTGGCGGAAGCGGAGACACTGGTGGGGCCCCTGGTTGGGCCCGGGCGGGATGGAGACGGTCAGGAGGGCCTCGGGGCCCACGGTGCTGGGGGCGCCTGCTTGGGCAGAGCCGTTGTCCAGGAGGGGCACCCAGCAGCGGTGGGCCAGCACCGCGCCCCCGAAGTTCTCCAGCATGTTCTGTGTGGTGACCCATGTGATGGGGACCACCAGGGCCACCATCTGGAGAACCTGGAACCTGCCCAGGCCCCCCACTTGGTCCAGGAGTTCAGAAAACGCCATGGTCCTGTCCCGGAGGCCCCTTGCAGGGTCACTTCGCAGAGGCCGGCCGGGGCCGAGGGGCTGAGGCGGGTGCTGCTCTCCCTGAGGCAGCTTCCCTGGCGGGGCAGCCGCACAGACCCCACCTGAAGCGTCACTCAGGGTGTGAGGTGTGACCTTGAGGCCCTCGCATCTTCACCCCCCGGGAGAAGCTCAACTTAGGAAGCAAGGAAAGTGGCCTGAAGTCACCAGACTGGATTTAAACTGTGACCAGGTGACATTTATGGAACAGGTTTACTAATGATTTCCTAGGGAAAAGTTTAACCCTGCTCGGAGGGAGGCACCAGGCAGAATATGCTGCTCCCCGTGCTGGGAGGCCCCCGCCTGGCTGTGCCCTGCACGCCTGCCTCCCCGCTGGGTGGTAGTGAGGAGCCTCCCCGAGTCCCCAGCCCAGGGGCTGGCGTGAGCCTGGAGCGGCCTCTGCATGTGGCCGAGCGTCCAGCTGCCACGGAAGCCCCTGCGGCAGCTCAGCCCTCTGAGGGGCACTTGTGGCGCCAAGACTTAGCTGACGAAACGGGCGCCTCGAGCTTCCAGAAATCAAGGGCCCGCATCCCAGCGCGTCCGCGCCTTCTGCAGTGGAGAGCCGCGTACCAGCATTGCAGGCCACACGCGGCAGAGCCCACTAAGGCGGCCTGCTGTAGTTTAATCATTGATGGACACGTGGTCACCCTGGGTGCCCCCAGCACGTGCCTGGTGTGTGTAATGCCGAGCAAGGGAAGAGGGGGTGGAGGGTTGGCCTGTGCTTGATAATGTCAGCCCAGAGCGGGGAAAACCAGTCCCAGGCCCCACAGGACGGCGGTGAGGGTGGGAGGCAGCGCCTGGCTCTGCCCTGTGGATGAGCTATCTTGGCCACCTGGGGTCACGCGGTTGTGGGTTTCAGCTTCATCTCACGGTGGGGGCCCCCGCAGCCTGCGTGTGGGCTCATGGAAACCCCTTGCTGAGGGAGCCTTGGTGACCGTGCAGGGGAGAGGATGCGGGTGGGAGAAGGGGCAGGTCCTGTGCCCACGAGTTCCCTCTCGGCAGTGGGAGGCCAGGGTCAGATGTAGGCGTGGACCAGACCATCTTGGTAGACATGAGGGTAGGGGACAGTTCTGTGCAATCGGCAGCAAAACTGGCAGTTGAGAGTGGGAGGTGTGGATGGTTCTGGAAGAAGGAATGGACTGGGGAAACTGCAGGCTGCCGGGGTGCCCCTGGAGCATGGGGGTGGAGTATGTGGGCCCACGGGCACGTGGCCTGTTCCCCCAGCCACATCCCACTGCAGGCACAGAGTGAACCAGGGACTGGCTTGGTGAGGAGGAGACTTGGCCGGGTAAGGGGGTGGGGCAGGGAGCAGCTGGGTTTTGTGCAGATGCCTAGGAATGGCTAGAGTGGGGTGGGGGACCCACAAAGGAGGCCACGTGTCCTGGGGATGGCATCACGAGCTGTCCTGCCCAGGGAGGAGGGGTGGGGCATGTGCTTGTTGGCCCAGGGGCGCCTGGGTGCGAGTGTGACTGGCGAAGGCCAGGGAACAGGGAGGAGAGGTGACAGCAGGAGAGATGCGGCGAGGCTCGTGGTGGAAGGCGCCTGCTGGCCTCAAGGAGCAGCCGGGCTCACTGCTCGGGAGGTGGCCTAGGTCCGGAAAGTGGGCACAGGTGAGGTGTTTGCCAATGGGGTTTGTGTTTTTGGGCTTGGGAATGCATCTGGCCATCTTTCTGGCCAGATCGTGCGGCAGGTTTTTCGTGGTTCCTCCCAGCCCCCGAGGTCCTGTGGAGACAGCAGCTGCCTCTGGTCCCAGGCCAGGCGGGAGAAAGGGCAGGCTGGCGAGCTCACCCGCCGTGACTCAGCAAAGGCCCTGCTGGAGGGTGGGGGTGGGGCAGCCAGGTGGCTGAATCCAGGCAGGCGGCTGGAGGAGGTGGCAGCCTCAACCAACCAGGTCTGCTCAGGCCTCCAGAGCTTCCAGAACTTGGGACACAGTGTCAGGGAGCTACAGGCCTCCACCCTCCGCCCTCCTTCATTCCTGTAGAGTTCTCTGAGGCCCTCACGCTCCTGGAGGATACTCTGGGTTGGCCCCTTTGAAGGCATCTGCCAGCCTCCAGCTCCTGCCCTTCCTGCAATCCTTCAAAGACTCCTCAGTGCTCCATAGACAAGACAGAGGCCCCAGGCCTCCTCTCTGCAGCTCAGCTTCAGAGCCTTCGCTTGGCTGCCTCCTCCTTTGCATGTCCCAGCCCAGCCCACACGAGCGGCTCTTGCTGAGATGCCCTGAGTCCTTCTCACCAGGTCTGCTCTTCTTTCTGCCCGAGTGCCCGTGCACCAGCCCCTGGCCCAAACCCACCCTCCTCCACGCTTCTCTGTCTCCTGTACCCCAACACTTCCATGCAGCCCTGCCTGCTGGAGGAGCCCCAGGGGCTGGCTGGTGGCCAGTTCCAAGCCAGTGTGTTCCCAGCAATGCCCGGGCAGGCCGGTGCCCAGGCAGGGCCCCTGGGCCCATGGTGTTCATGGCCTCTGAATCTGGGCTAGCTGTCTCGATTTGTTCATCCGTGAAAAGGGCACCACAGCTGTAGGGTAAGGTAAAAGGTATCAGGCTTTTCTGCCCTCCTGCCATCAGGATAGATGAGGGAACTCTGTGATCCTGAATGCATGCCTGATGGCGGGCACCTGAAGTGGGTACACCTGCGCTAAGACTGTGCTTTTTAAGGGTGGCGTCATGGGGACGCCAATAGAAGCCAAGAAGCCAAAGAGAAGGCCGGAGAGCCCAGATAGTGAGGATCTGCTGGGGGCTGGGAGGGCTGCCAGCCTCCTGGCCCCCCAGCGCCCCTGCCTGCCATATGCCTGGTGAACCCCAATAAAAAACCTGCAAAACCACTGAGGACTCTGACTCCTCCTTTACCCGGTCTGCATGGGATCAGAAAACCTGCACTGTGGCTAGTCCTGACCTTATAACAGCCCTCCCCCCGCCACTGCAAGGTTGTCTAGGCCAAGATGGCACAGTTCTCTGAGGGGCAATCTCTGGTCAGCAAGTATCCAGGTGTGGACAATGGAAGCCCCAACACACGTGGCACCTGGAACGCCAACTCCTCCAGAACCTCTGAAGAAATGGTCTCCTGGCTGCTGCTTGTTCCAAATGGCTGTTCCTAGCAGTTCTGAAAGTCGGAGCTACTGTCCAGTGGGCAACACAGTAACCCCCACTCATTTCTTCTAAATGTGCCCCAAATGTGGCCACAGCTCAACTCAGGACTCCCCCTCCCCACCAGCTGAGGGTGCTTAACCACGATGGTGGTGGTGAGACCGGTGGTGATGACGACGATAATGACAATGGTGGGGACTGTGCAGGTGATGATGATGGTGTTGGATTTGGCGGAGGTGGTGGTGGTGATGTGCGGTGTTGATTGTGGTGATGATGATGCCAAATGGTCATTGAGTTTTTATCATGTTTTGGTCACTGTCCTAAGCTCTGTCCTGTATTAGCTCATCTACTCCTTCCAACAGCTCTTGCAACGAGGCATGCCATTTTACCCATTTTTATAGTTGTGGAAACTGAGGCACAGAGGGATGAATCTAGGTCACACAGCCACACTGTAGCAGAATCAGGACTCCAACTCCCACCTGACTTCAGGGTGGGCCAAAGCCTTGTGGGAGCAAAGGATCCCAGGAAGTCACTGGAAGCCTCCCTGCCTCATCCGTCCCTGTCTCGGCACCGGCCCCTCTGCCGGCTCTGCTCCCCCGAGGTCAGCAGCCGCTTTCCTCACATCCTGTCCTTCTTGAGCTGCAGCACCACCCCTCTCCTAGCTCAGCGTGTCCCTAGGGGGACCCCAAGTCAGAGCCCAATTTCCTGATGTGGCCAGCTCAGCCGCCGCTCCCTCTGGACCCAACTCAGCATCAACTCTGTGTAGCCAGAAGGTTCTCTGGGACAGGAAGCAGTCTTCGCCCTGGTGAATTTCTGGAGTCCCCGTTCCCACCTCTGTGGCAGGACTTGTGGCCCCTCCCCGGGCCCAGCGGGCCCTCAGCTGCGGAGCCTGCTCTGCTTCCGCCGTGGCACTTCCGGGTTGGCTGAGTTGAGAAGTATTTCCCACTGGCCTTGAGGCTGCTGATCCCTGGGAGCAGGAGGTGCCGGGCTGCCCACTGCGGCCACCACCCACATGGAGGTGACAGGGGGAGGTGGGGGAGGGGGTCTGCTGGCTGGGCGCCGTCTCGGGCAGGGGGCGAGCAAGCGTATGACTGTAACTGGTGTGAGCTGTCGGGGCCCAGAGCACAGGCCCCTCCTGCCCGGCTACCCTGGAGCCCTGGCCTGGGCTCCTCCAGCTGGGAGCAGATCCCTCTATCTAAGTAGGTCAAGGAGCGCGCCGGGCAGCCCGCCCGGCTCCGGCTCTGCTTCCCTTTCATGTGCCTGGAGGCTCCTACAAGTCTGGCCTGCCTTCACCAAAGGGACTTCGCTCTCCTTGCTGTGTCAAAAAGATATTTCATGTTAAAATTCAACGGAGACATGTTAACCAGCCATCAGAACCAGAGTCGTCAGCACACGAGCTGCTCAGACAGGCTCAACTTTGCCCTGCTCTGAGGAGGGTCTTGCCCGCAGTGAGAAACGGGCACATTTTATAAGGCGGTGTGAGGACTGCGCCCGGCCCTGCAGCCAGTGCCTGCGGCTCCTCCTTGGGCTCCTGGCTGCTGCCCCCGGGGTTCTCAGCTTTATTCCAGGATACCAGCCTCTCGCTGAAGCGTTGTGCTGGTTTAGCTGCATCCTTAATCCTCCAGCAGAGCTGTCTCTTTGATTTTGTGAGGTGCAGACTGTTGTTAAGAGGAGGCTGAGGAGGTCCACCTGAAGGCCGGCCCCGAGCACTGCAGCACCTGCACCTTGACTAGGGCTCCCAGGTCGACCCGCAGGCCCAGTCAGCACCAGACCAGGGCTCGTTCAGTGGCCAGCGCCCAACACACTAGCCATCGGCGCCTGAGGCCTAGGCCTAGCAGCAGGCATCTCCCAGACTGAGGTCCACGTCAGCCAGTGAGCACCACCAAAGCAGCCTCAGGCTACAGTTGATAACAAAGCCTTGGGCGTGGCAGCACTGGACTTCCAGACACCCCAGCCTCTGCAGAGCAGGGAGCCCTGGGCTCCCAGGTCGACCAGCAGGCCCCACAAGCCACAGCCTGGGGGTCAATGGGA